ATGGCAAATCCTAGCATACATATTTGATGACAACAGACCACAATTACTTTTTGTACTTTGTCAAGCTTATTATCATTCCTTACACAAAAATATTGGTTAGTAATTTTTGTTCTGGAAGAGCATGTTTGTGTGGCATGTTGTGAACTTACAAACAAAATATACTGGCAGTTGATGATTATATATGGTGATATCCTTGCAAATTTCTGGAAACCACAATGTGAAAGCTGTAATTTTTGTCTATATTTTTCACATCTCACAGGACCAGCCGAATAAATGCACAGATACCTGTTTTGGTTTGATGTACAAACATGTGCCTACTGCAGAGTGCCCAACTATGAAAGAGTCGCCTTCTTTTAATATTTTTCTTAGTATATATTGAATAATTTATTAAAGTGGTATTAATATTTCATATAGTTCTAAATTAATATGTGACTACCTGCCTGTCAAAGTATATTCATGTTTGCCTGAAAATGGAACATTGGTATGTTTAGTCCAACTTTTGGAATTAAAGTTGACATTCACATGTATAGTGTGTATGAGACCCCTTATTTGCATAAATTTCTTAGCGTACTTAAGGAAGGAGATATGTAGGTGCTTATTTTCTGGTGCCTTGACTACTGACTAGCATAAGGCACCGTTCTTCTTTGGGGCAGCTACTTCCCTGTTTTTTGTTACTTCCTCCGTTTCACAATGTAAGACTTTCTAGCATTGCCCACATTCATTTAGATGTTCATGAATCTAGATATATGTATGTGTTTAGATTCATTAACATCTATATGTATATGGGCAATGCTAGAAAGTCTTATATTACAAAACTGAGGGAGTAGTATGCTTCCTAAACTGTTAAACAATGTTTTTCTTTCAAATAATTTTTATACAGAAGTTTCTTTAAAAAGAAAATCAAATAAACCCATTTTCCAAATTTATAATAGCAAATGCTTAATTAATCTTGCGCTAACGATTTTTCTCGTTTCGCATGCCATCAATAAGCTCAGCCAAAGAGCTGATTCAAACGCTGCCTAAATCAACTATAGGCAAATCAGCAAAACATGCTTAAGCTAGGAGCTAGGCAATCACTTGTTTTGTGGTACAACTTGAGTTTAGGTGTCACATTGTGTAGAGGGTTCCTTTGAGATGTCCTGACTCCTGCGGGATTTAAAATGGTTACGCTTATAAGCTTTGGTTATAGAAAAAAGTTTGGTGGACCAAATAATCTCAATTATTAGTAGGTGCACATGCCAGCAAAAAGGCCAGAAAGTTTATCTTACAAGTTATGGCTCAAAAGCTGGCAAACATTTCTAATTCATGCTGAAATTTTCAGAAGTTTACACATAAGAATTGTAAACGAGCTTATGATTATATGCACTGCTTTAGATAGATTTTATTTTTATGAGGCCCAGAATTTCTGTCAATTGGTTCTGTTTTTGTAGGCCTTCATACAATTTATGTTTTTATCCCTACAATTTTCATTAATAGATGCAGTTTTTTAGACTTACATTATTTAATTGATTCTATTTTTTTTCACTTGTTTCTGGCAGACCTCAATCCTCACAGACCCCTGCTAGCAAAGGCACATATTCACAGGTGGGTTACTCATATAAAGGGGATGGAAATGAAGAATCTGAAGATCTAAAGAGTGATGAGGAGGATGAAGAGGAAGAAGATGAAGAGGATGAAAAGGGCTTCAGTAGTGATGACAGCAGTGATGAACGAATGGAAAGTATAGCCAAGGAATTTGGTGTAAAACGATATAACTGGCTTGTTTACATGGACAAGAAGGCCAAGGAAGAGGAAAAGCGCCAGAAAGAGATTATCAAAGGCGATCCTTCCATTGTTAGTACATTTGTAGTTTTAAATATAGCGTATGTTGCTTGCCTGTAGTGAGAGCTGACAAAATACACTATGCAGAAAAAGCTGAGCCGCAGAGAGAGAAGAAAAGTTTCTCAAATTGAGAGGGAAAGAGAGCGGGAAGCAGCACGTTCTGTTGGAAGGGTATCTTATCGTGATCCTTATAGGTAATGTTGCTTGTTCGCTCTATAATTGGGAAGATGAAGTAACAGAATGACAAGTATTGTTATTACAATATTCATATGCTCAACATATTAAATTTATAGGGAACAAAGGAGAAGTCCGTCATATGATTCGTATTCAAGGGGCAGAAGGTGTGCTCAACTTTCACTTTAATTTTTTAGATGTAAAATCTTTGCGTTGATTAACCTGCAATTATTTCATGATGGCAGATCAAGGTCAAGATCAAGATCTCGTTCACCTTCGTATTCTAGACGCCATGGCCGTGGTACACATGCTGAAAGCAACTACCGAAGCAAGCCAAAGACTCCAAGGGTTGAATACATCACTGAATTTGGAGGTTCAGATGACACCAGTGACCTGAAAGTTGCAGGGATATCTCCACCTTCATCTCCAATACGAGTTGGCATACCTAACCGGTCGGGGAACTCGACCTTTAATATTTGCAAAGATACATTGGGCCATCTTTCTCTGCTGCAGCATATTGTCATGGTCCTGGTATTCTAAAAGCTGAACATGTCAAAGAGTAGGATAGTTGAAGACAGGGTCAAGATGGCATTTATATGCTATAAACTGTAAAATGATATTGGATTTGTAGGTAGACATGTGAAGCAATAGGTGGCATATGTTTACTGAGCAGGAAGATGATTTAGCTCGTGGAGCTTCTGGCCTAAGTTTGTTTACTCTTCCAATTCGTTTTGCCTATAATACCATTTCTTTCCTGCAGGTCATCAGGTGGCCAAATTCTTGAGGCACTTCACAGTGATCCTGCATCTTCTTTGTCTGTGGAGCAGGAGAAAAGTACAAAAAATTTGAAAGCGCCCACCAGGTTTGTCAACATGATTACAATGCCATGAAAAACAAGAGAGAATCCCTTATTTCTAACAGCACTGAGTTTCTAACAGATGTTATCCTTATTTCTCTGCGATCGTTTTACACTACTCTGAGTTATCATACAACTGTCTCTAGTCTGTCTTAGCTTGAGCATGTACCTGATTCCAGGGTATTGTCCTGTATCTTCATCATTTACGAATGTGTTTACTAACTAGTCAACTATTTTCTGTTGACAGCACATCAGCACTAGTCAAACTAAGCAAGGGTGCCACTGGGGGGCCTGGCAAAACCGTCCGGACTGAAAAGAAAGAAACACCACAAGAACGACTTAAAAGAATAATGAGCAAACAACTTAACAAGCAAAGTATGTTTTTATTCCATTCTTCTGTATGCACTAATGAATTTGAACAATGCTATCCATCTCTTAGTCCATGCATGCAATGAAGCATACTCAGTTTTTGTTTGTCTGTACAGTTCGAAAGGACACTGCTGCTGAGATAGCAAAGAAACGAGAACAGGAACGCCAAAGGCAGGAAAAACTTGCGGAGGTAGGTCGGTACAGGGGTCGAAGCAGGAGCCTTAGCCGATCTCCACCAAGGTAATTGAATTGAATCAGTATTCATCACATCAATGCAATCTTGGACATGAAACTGTAGGGCTGTGATAGAATCTGCTTGCTTCCTAAATAATTCAAGCTGTTTCACAGTTCACGAAATGACGAATTTGCCAAAAGGATATTTGTATTTTTAGAATACTACAGATTCATTATATTTTCTTAACAAAATATGATTTTGACAAGAACACCTGATGCTGATTGATACATTGTCATGAAAAAAATATCATGGTACCTGGTGCAGAAGGCGACATTATAGCAGAAGCCGTAGTAGGAGTAGAAGTCCAAGGAGGTACCATTCACGATCCCAGTCTCATTCCCGTTCGCCTTCTCGCTCTCCAAGGTAATTTAGCAAGCGTAGTTATTTCGAATCAGATGCCGAACATCCCTATCCCTGCTACTTGTTACTAGATAGCATCTGAAATAGTAAATATGGCCCTGCAGGTACAGAAGCAGGTCAAGGCACTGAATACCAGCTGCACCAATCACCAATGAAGTAACCCGTCTCTGTACTCTATATATTCACATTGTGGTGTTTTTAGATTTTATTTGCTTTTGCTTCTCCACGTTATTATGTTTTAATTCTTCTTGACTGTTAGAAGCACCCTGGATCCCTTTCAACCTTGCTTGGTGTACGTAGCTGTATCTCTTGGTTTAAATAAGAGGGTCCCTTGGCTACAAGACGCATGCACTTGTCACTTATCAGCTTTAGGGTACGGCTTTTTATTGAGCACGAGGCACAATTTTACAACTTGGAGTTGATATCATAGATAGATGGAGAGTGATACTGATAAACGAGAGAGGGTGCTCGCTCTCATGGAGTTGCCACCCTTCAATCAAAAAAAAAAAGTGGTACGATAGGCGAGACTACATGCCATGGTATGTCTCTTTCCCAATTGCCTGTTTGTCCGCGTGCTCTAAATGTTTTTTGCCTGATGCATCCTAATATTTTTTTTCTAAGAAAAAAGAATATAATAAAGAGAGGCTCGATACCCATGCTTTGGACCCAAAAAGATTGGTTACATTGCTCCAGGTTTTATTAGTTCAATTTTAGGTGATGATTGAAAGCTTAACAGTCCAAATTTATTAAGTGCGAGTAGCGTCTTCTCAAAAAAGAAAAAGGTTGGTTATGCCGTTGTATTGATCAGGAATGTCTTTTAGTTATGAACCGGACACACTCAATTAGAGACGAGGAGAGTAAATAGGAAATATCTATTTCACATAACAGTAAATGCATACTCGCGAATCAGCAAGCATATAACGAAGTAGTAAGGGTGTTTTTGTTTCTTTGGGTGTAAAGTTTTTAAAGTATATGGATACACATTTGAAGTATTAAACGTAGACTAATAACAAAATAAATTATAGATTCCGCCTGTAAACTGGGAGACGAATTTATTAAGCTTAATTAATCCGTCATTAGTAAATGTTTACTGTAGCATCACATTGTTAAATCATGGTGTAATTAGGCTCAAAAGATTCGTCTCGTAATTCACATGCAAACCGTGCAATTGTTTTTTTTCCTCACATTTAATGCTCCATGTATGTGTCCAAACATTTGATGTGATGTTTTTGGCTAAAAATTTTTTGATCTAAACAAGGCCTAAGAGCAAGTATAATATTAAGCTATAAGCCTACTATAAGCTTATGTGGAGGAAAGATATAACAAAAGGTCAAGGATGTTGGCTCTCATGCAAGAGCTAGCTTAACACAAGCTCCTAGGTAAATACATTAAATGTATAGGTGAGAGAGGAAAAGAAAATTGTAGCCAACCTTATAGCTAATCCATTATATATGTTGGCTTTATGATGGGTTAATAGTAGGAAGTGAGCTCTATTATTATCCTTGCTCTAAGGCTGTGTTCGGTACTGGAGGATGAGAACCTATCTTCCTCGCACAGAAAACGAAGTGGTCCATTAGCACGTGATTAATTAAGTATTAGCTATTTTTTTTTAAAAAAATGGATCAATATGATTTTTTAAGTAACTTTCGTATAGAAACTTTTTGTAAAAAACATACCGTTTAGTAGTTTGAAAAACGTGCGTGCGGAAAACGAGATGGAGGAGTTGGAGGATTAGTGTATAACGGATTGAAATGGGTTCCCATAAGAACTAGTCTTCAGACGGGCGACCGTTCAGGCTCCATCACTACCATCTTTACCGTAACTAGTCGATCATCGGAAAAACACTTTCAGTCACCCGAGCTTAACGGTGCTGTTGGCTCTACCATTACATAGATAAGTACTTTTGATGAATTAATCCATCGTGATACTAGCCATCTTACAATATGGAACCGATGGATTAAGGCGACCGAAGGTTAGATGGTGGATCCACTGGTGATTGAGATGAGGTTTGCTTTACCATACGGATTTCAGTTAAGTTTGAAAACTTTACAAATTTGTACTAGTAAGTTTGAGAATTCCTAGAGAACAATGTCAAAATAAGATAAATTTTGCTACATGACACTTAAATTTGGTATAATTTGCTGATGGATATTGCAAAAACATGTCTGAGACTAGATAACACTAAAAAGCTAGTGATTTGTTGGAAGACATTTTTTGGCCCAATCGGAAAGAAAACTTCTTCAAAAAGACGAGAGTATCCTTGGGGCCGTTGGAGTGAAAATTTAGAAATTGTACAACTCTTAATTTGTCTTCATCCAAAGCACATCCATACCTCATATGTCATCTTCACTCTAGCTAGCGTCAATTTAGAGGCTTGTGGTCCTAGGAGCATTCTCGTCTCTTTGAGGAATGTCGTCCTCCTTAAATCATGATATGTTTTTCAATGTCTAGGATCATAGAGCAAAATTTGCCTTGAAATAATATATGGTGATGGTACACCCTTAAAGCAAACAAACAAATCAACAAGGGGTGTGGAATTTGAGGGAAAACTCAAAACACGAGGGAAACATGGGAGTGCACACACCACACCGTAGTACGAGCAGGGAGTGCCTTTGTCTCTACGCCATTCCTCTTGCTCCATATTTGTTTGTCCTCATTAACTTGTTCTATTGGTGCCATCCATATCTCTATCTGAGAGTTGGGAGCTGTGACCGTTGATCTCGAGAGGAGTGGTCCTGGACTTAGATTACAGTTAATTAGCTAGGGAATCATTAACTTAACTATGATATCCACAGCCCTTATGCACTTCTTGCATAGATCCAAATCTCCTGTCTTAGTTTTGTAGGATCCTCTTGGCTCGTAGCAGCTAGACAGCAAAAAATTAATGAATCGTACGGACGGTTTCCTTTCATTTTGTCTTGGTAACCTTGATCCAATAAAATACTATAATAATATTAAGATATCTGAATTGTAGCATAAAAGTGGCCTGATTAGATATTTAAACAGTGTCAGACCTTCATTTATAGTGTTTGAAAACTAAAGGAATCACAAGTTAAAATCAATTAGCAAAAGCGTGAACAAGGTTAATAAATATTTCGTCGGGTGGGGTTAAGTTAATATTTATAATGTATGAGAAAAGATTATTCTAGTTAGGTCGGTCCTAACCCAATGACTAGAATGGTGTTAATAGTATTAAGGTCTTGTTTAGTTGGGAAATTTTTGGGTTTAGTTGTCATATCGGATATTCGGACACACATTTGAAGTATTAAACGTAGTCTAATAACAAAATATATTATAGATTCCACCAGAAAACTGCGAGGCGAATATATTAAGCCCAATTAATCCGTCATTAGTAAATGTTTACTGTAGCACCACATTGTCAAATCATGGCGCAATTAGGTTTAAAATATTCGTCTCGCAATTTACACGCAAACTGTGTAATTAATTATTTTTATCTACATTTAATACTTCATACATGTGTCTAAACATTCGATGTGATGTGTGAAAAGTTTTTGTTTTGGGAACTAAACAAGGCCTAAATAAGCTGCCACATAGAATCAAGAGAAGGAAACCAGATCTTGCATGAGACATGGTTTCTGCACATTCAATACATTATGTGAGATAAGTAGCATTAAATTTAAGTATGGAACAATGGTGTTTGCATTGAAAGAGTAGTGTCTAGTACTAGTTCTTCATGATGTGTAGTTTATGGAAATTATGTCAAGTGTCTTGGGTTGGGACTGGTTTTATATTGATCTATCCGGGGATGGAGCCACCATCTGGCTATCACGGGTAGGGTGGACAGGAAGCTTGTGGCTCGTTAGCTCGGCTCGGCTCGTTTGATTTTCCTAACGAGCCGAGCTAACATTTTAGCTCGTTAGAGATAACGAGCTAGCTCGAGCTTGCTCCTGAGCCTTAACGAGCCAAGACTTCAACAGACAACAGCAAAGGCCTAACAGCAAAGGCCTAGCCCAAGACAACAGCAAAAGCCCAAGACAATAGCAAAACCGTAGTCCTCTCCTCACTCCTCATCGCATCGGCGTCGGCGGCTCATCCGCACCGCACGAGTACACGATCGCATACCGCATCTATCTCTAGCTCCGCTCGATTCCTCGATCCCTCTCTCTGGCTTCCGCAGTGGCGCAGTGTGCCGCCGCCAGTCGCTCTCCTCTCCTCACCTCTCGCCGCGACGCCGCCCAGCCGTCCTCTTCCACCGAAGAAGCTCTCCTCGCCGCTGCCAGCTTCTAGGGCCGCCGCGCACTTCCCCAGCCAGCGCTAGAAGCTCTCCTCTCCTCACCTCTCGCCGCGCCGCCGCCAACCGTCTTCTTCCACCAAAGACCGGCCGCCTACCCCGCCCCCACCGGCCACCGCCTACTCCACCCCTGCCAGCCGCCGCCTACCCTGCCCCCGCGGGCCGCCACCCTGTGCCACACGCTGCCCACTGCCCAGCCGCCCACCGATGGTTTGGCTCATGAGCCTAACGAGTTAGCTCGAGTTTTCAAACGAGCCGAGCTAAGCTTGGTTTCTAGCTCGTTAGGTAACGAGCCAAGCCGAGCCAGCTCTTTATCTTAACGAGCTAGACCGAGCCGAGCCGGTTCACTATCCACCCCTAACCACGGGCAGCCGCCCGGGCTTGGCATCGAATACATCATTAAATAATTATTTGTTAAAGGGATTTAAAGTTGATAACCTTGTAGCAAATACGAGGTAAAATGTATATTTTAGTTTGTCCAGTTCAAAAATCTTTTTGGCTATGTTACTGGTTCTGTCGACGAGCGGTGCCAAGGCTCGAAGTGTTAGCCCATCTTCTTTTTAATCAATCTGTGCAATATTGAATTTATTATCCATTTTTTCTTTCTTCCCTCCGCTTCATCTTTTATATTATATTGCTAAGTGGGCGTCATCGTCCCCATGATTATGGAGTCAATATCCTCCACTCTTCCGCACATAAAATTTGACAATTCGACCCTTGCAGAAAACTAATTTCGTAAATAAACCTTGGCCAAAACTTATTTTAAAAATGACCCTTTTGTTTAACACTAAATCGTATGGCACTGAACTTAGACACCAAATCATTTTTTAGGAGCAACTCTACAAACTCCACTAAAAAAACATAGGATCTGGACCGTTTGGCATAGCTTCGGCTCTAGGTAAGTTGGAATTGAGAGTTAGAGCTGTGCCACACAGCTTCTTATAAGTCAAACATTTATATCTTTGACCATTAAATTTCTGAAATTTTGTATAGCTGAGCAACACATGAATTATATTTCATGAAAATATTTCTCGTGACTAATCTAAAAACATAAAGGCTATATGAGTTTTTAGAAATTGAGACAAAGCAAGAACGACAATTAATTTAAGATGGAGGAAGCACTGAAAATTCTTTGAATGCATAAATCCAACAATATATAAATTCCACACAAAACAATTCTTTTTTTACAAGCATGTAAAATTAAAGAAATTCACCATGTTTCCATAAATAACCTGAGAATAATTTGTGCTCCCAAAAGGCTTGTACCTTGGCAGCCTTTGAGTAGTTTTAACACAGCGCTGACAGCTTATTATCACGGAATCCCAGGGCAGATGGGGTTCCGACTGTCAATGCACGGGTAAAAATACTCCTATAAAAGACAGGCCACTAGCAGACACTTCGCTTGGGGTGAATCAAAAGCCCCCTTTTTGTTTCGTTTCGTTTTGTTTTTACAGTCACTTTATCCCTGTTTTGAAAAATACCCTTTTGTTTTTATGCTTTCTTGACTAGATTCTGCTCTGCCATTATTTCCTATTTATAGGTTGGGATATTATTTAGTACATGAGTTTAACAGTGTCTAATTTATTTTATAACGGAGAGAGTAGATCAGACGACCCTGCCATTCAGCCTATGCCGAATCTCCAAGTCCCAACGGCTACCCTCGGTAATAAGCCAAATCTTTTATCGTTGACTAATCTAAATCATTTAGTAGAGTTAGATCAGGATCGGGTTTATCATTAGTACACTCAGCCAGTTGGTAACGGCCAGGTAATGTCAGTTCTCTCGCGCGGTGATGCCGAATCAAATGTAAGGTTTTAATTAATGACCAGGTTTTAGTGTTTTTCCAGAGTTCACTCAAACTATGGTGTGGTTGAGTTATTGGGAAAATTACGCCTAAACACTCCTATGTTCCAAGTACTCCCTCCGTACCAAAATATTACAATCTAAGAGCTTTTCATGTTCATAGTCCTACCGTGAGTCTAATTGCATTATAGGTTAATAATATTTTAGAATATAGGAGGTAGTAGTTTGTGTTATTGGGATAATTCAGGCGTTATTATATAGTAATTACTCTATATTGTATTAAATTATCTATGCTAAATGTACTATCTCCGTTCCGAAATATAAATATTTTGAGTTATGAATCTAAATAATTTATGTATTAGATTCATAGTTAAAAGTTATCATATTTGAGACAGAGGTAGTAGCTATCTTATTTTAATTTTTAGGGTGCAAAAGTAATGACTCAAATCATAGAAAACGTGCATATTCTCGTGTTGTACTATGTTGTTCAAACTCCATGGTAGAGGGAAGGATGAATTTTGATGCTATTTTTAACTATACCATTTCTTTAAAGTTGTCAAAAAAATGTTTACGTTTACTTTATTGCTAAATTTGGTAAATACATAAAAAATCCTACTAAAATTTTGATAATATTATCATCTTACCAAAAATTTGGCCAGATTTATTTTGGCTACAATCTAAACAGTTCTGAGATATACAACGTAGTACTAAAACAGCATCATAGTGGGCCACCCCCAAACCCCTGGGCAACCCCACAAGCTCAGAGACTCGAGGCCCCCCACACACACACACACTAGTATTATTATTATTAACGTTCACCTTGCGCTTCCTCCGCAACGACCACATCCATTTGATCCACCTCTCTTTCCTCGCCACCGACTTCGCCAGATGGTCGACGTCGACCGCCGCCCGCCGCTGCCGCACGGCCTCCCGCGCCCGCCCTCCCACGCCGCCGGCCTCCGCCGCCTCTCCACCCGCGCCTCCGCCCCCACCACCCCGCGCGCCTCGCCCGCCACGCCGTCTCCCTCCTCCGCCGCCGCCGCCGCTCCCTCCCCTTCCGCCCTCGTCGCCCACCTCGCCGCCGCCGGCGTCTCCGTCCTCCCGGGCCTCTCCGACCCGGAGCTCGCCCACGCCGAGGCCGCGCTCGGCGGCCTCCAGCTCCCTCCCGACCTCCGCGACCTCCTCGCGATCGGCGTCCCGTCCGGGGACGGCTTCCCGGACTACCGCTCCCCGGCGGGCCTCCGCCTCCTCCGCTTCGCCGCCGAGGAGGTCCCCGCCGCCGTCGCCGCCGCGCTGCCCGGCCGCCGGGCGGGGGGGCGGGGGCGGTGGTGCTCCTCCTCCCCGCCGCCTCTCGTCCCGCTCTACGGGCGGCATTACGTGCCGGCCGTGCCCTGCCTCGCCGGGAACCCGGTGTTCCACGTCTCGGACACCGGCGTCGCCGTCGCCGGCGCCAACATCGCAGCGTTCCTCCTCCGCGCCTTCGCCGCGGAGCCGCCCCGCGGCGCGCCCCTCCGCCGCCAGCTCTCCGCGCCGATGCCCCCGCCGGCGCCGTCTCCCGCGCCGTCCACCGCCCGCCGCAGCCTGGACTCCGCCACCGGGAAGGCCCCGCGCTGGATCGAGTTCTGGACCGACGCCGCGGCCGCCGGCGACCGCTTCGTGGAGGTCAGCACGTGCACCAGCACCCGCGCGAACGCGGCGCCGCAGTGGGTGAGGTCGTACCTGGAGTGGGCGGGGTCCGTGCTGCGGCGCGGCGGGTGGGGCGGCGGCGAGGTGGAGGAGATGACGACGGGAAGCGGCGGCGGCGGCGAGGAGGCGGTGGCGTTGGCGCTGACGGTGGACAGGTGCTGCGGCGAGCTGGGTCGGGCGGGGTGGGGGGCGGAGGAGGTGGTGGAGGCGCTGGGGGCGCTGCTGGGGCCGAGGACGAGGAAGAGGCCGGCGGTGGCGCTGCCGCCGGACGTGGCGGCGCGGGTGGGGAGGCTCGCCGAGGCCGTCTCGCGGGCGGTGTTTACCGGGTCCGGGTCCGGATCCGGCGGCAACCCGGAACCCGCCAAGAGGCCATTTTGAAATCCGGGAAAGCCTCTTTTTTTTTTTTTTCCTTTCTCTTCTCCCTGTAGTTTAGCAGACAGCGGTAGCTAGCGCTGTGTTCTCTGTGTACTTGAATAGTACTACTAGTGGTAATCGTACAGGAGGCACTGTTTGCATGTGCCTTTGTACTCAGTACTCACCATTTCCCATGTTAATACAACAAACTACTAAGTCCCAAATAATCCTGGGTGTTTATTATTTTACTTCCAAAACCAAGAGATTCTCAAAGGCTGTTCAGGCTACCATAAGAGGGCTACTAGAGAACGGGATACCGTTCAAACGGTATACTTTATAGAGGCTAGCATATCAGCTTCCTCCCTGTAAGTCTAGCGTCATCCCTCCCTCCAACTTCCACGTGCTCACATCCCTTCTCCTCGAGCTAGTGCTCGCAGTGTCGTAGATAACGATACTGGTCACAACAGCAAGGAACGAGGCTTGAGCCGAGGGGAAGGGAAAAGAGGAGAGGAATTGTTGATACTTGAAACTTTGCAGGTACCAGCCCTAGCCCTGATACCTAAGTATCAGGCCTGATACCTATGGGTACCACGTCTGATACCTAACCATGATACCCAAGTACTAGGCCTGATACCTACGGGTACCAGGTCTGATATCTAGGTATCAGTCATGATATTCACAGGTACCAAGCATGATACGGGGTACCGGGTCTGATGCCTAGGTATCAGCCATGATACCACAAGTATCAGGCATGATACCTATGAGTACTGGCTGCTGATGATGCATTGTAGACATACCTGCACACACTCGGGCGAGGAGCATGATGGCTCACCATCACGTTGCCCTTTCATCACCATCGACAACGCATGTAGAAGGAGGAGGCCAAGGAGCACGCATTGGGCCTCATTCTTCCAGTTCCCGATGACCTCGCTTCTTCCAAGTTGCCCCCGGCCGCCATGGGAGCTAGATACAGTGGGTAACACCATGCCTCAAAAGCATGAGACGGAGGAGGCCATGAGATTGGTGTTGCCTACGCGTCGTTGTTGCCAACATGCACTCGCTCTGGATCTAGCACTGGTGGAGAAACCCTTTGTAGTCCCGGTTCGTAACCCCCCTTTAGTCCCGGTTTCCAAACCGGGAGTACCAATCCGGGACTAAAGATCGCTATCTTTAGTCCCGGTTGGTAACACCAACCGGGACTAAAGATCGAGCTGACCTTTTTTTTTTTGCATGCCCCTGTTGCTGCATGGTTTATATATATATATATATATATATATATAAACCATGCATATATATGTTTCAATACATATATATGCATACATATATATATATGTATATATATATATATTATATTATATTATATGTATATACATGCATAATATATATGTATTTATACATATATATATGTTATGCAAATGCATATGTATATAGATATATATATGAACAAAATATATTTACATTATAGAAAATGTGTACACATGCATATAGAAATATATGTAGTCATGTATTAATTACAATCCATTATATGTCCTAGCTAGCTACGATTTCGACGTAGTAGTACTCGCTGCTAGCTCAGAAGCTAAGGACCGGTGAATTGTGTTTTCGTCGTAGTAGAATTCACCCTTGGGATCAAGGATTTCTTCGTTGATGAATCCCATGAGTTGTTCTTGAACCGCCGCGGTAAATTCCTTGTGTGTGGTCAGGTTATCCCTCATGCGAATAAACTATATGAATGTATGAAATTGATTAGTAATTAAACAAGAAATCGCTACATAATGAAATTTTGAATTTATTTGTACGTACATCGAGCTCTCTTGTGGTGATGATTTGGTCTGCAAGGCAGTGGCAATACTCGCACACGTAATAGCCGCACAAGTTAGTTCCCTGCTTTTGCTTTGCGCACTACAAATAAATGACAAACAACGAGAGATCTAATTAATATACACTTGTATGTATTTGAATCGGAGAAATATAAATGTAGAGCATGTGTACTCACAGGAAATTTGAACTTCCGCCTAAGTCTTTCTCTCCATTTGCCGCGGACCAAATGACGGAACCGATACCAAGCCCTACATGGAGTTTAAAGCTATGATTCGTAGTAGCAATTAACATAACAAGATTTTCTTAATTAACAAAGGAACTTATGACGATACCTGTCTATAAGTTCGAAAACCTTGTCAAACGTAGACTCTTTTTTATCCATTGAGTCATATACGTTGACGGTGCAGGCCTCCAGGTCGATGAGTAAAAGCACCCAGTGGAATCTGCAATGTGCGTGGGATGCATTACATATGAAACACTTAGCAAGTTCGTACGGGAATGAAATTTGGTATGTAGGAAGACAGTAAAATTAAACTAACTCTGTGTTGTATGGCAACAGTATGAACGTCTTGTAATGCTGCGCCTTCAGGAGATGGACGAGATTGTCCTCTGTTTCTTGTGGATATTGGTCGAGCATTGCGACGTTTACTTTCCGAGGGTCGATGAATCCAGTATCTAAAACCCTCCGCCGTCGGGCCCTTTGAATCTCCATTCTACAACGATAAAAGGGAGTATATTATTTTCTATGGTCTACTTATATACAAGGACCTAATTAATTAAAGGAGACGTATAGTAAGAAATCTAACTGAACGATATACTTACAAAATCCAGCAACTCATAATAGAGACGTCGAGGGCGTCCAGCTGGTATAGTTCGTAGATTCCCCTGAAATTGATCCAGAGAATGTCATCTCCTTGCAAGAAGTCCGTGTCCCTGATCCTCGCTCCGATCATCTCTCTACCGGTGGCGCTCATCTCCATGTACAGCTGATGGAACTTGTACATTTGTGTGGGTAGGGACTGCAGCAGCTCAGGCTTGACAAGCGGTTTACCGAGTTCGTACATGTATTTCACTTCCGCCTTTTCGATTGGTGCGACTCCTAGCAATTGATCCGTAGTTAGACCGGTGTCAGTAATAAATTGTTCTATCGTCATTTCTTTACCGGTCACCAACGGCTCGATCTCCTGGTTTGGTTGCTCTCCAAGCTGAGGGACTGGTTTGGACTTTCCAGAAGATGCTTTCTTCAGCGTTCGCTCATAGTCCGATAGCTTGATGGCCTCCTTGACAGATGCAGACATACCCCTGAAGAAGTTCCTGACACTGGGGTCTATAGGAATCTTCTTTTCTGGACTTCGAGGCTTGAATTGTCTCTTGACTTCTGATGCAACGTAAGCGTCAAGCTCCTCTTGCGTGCAATCGTACCCCGGGTCGGCGTCAACTTTCGCCTTCTTTGTTGCCCTTGTGTGGGCAAGCGGTGGAGCTGGGGGGGCCCTTGACTTTGAAGGTGCCGGAAGAGGAGCTTGCGGGGGAGTAGGTGTAGGAGCACGAGGAGGAGTCGGTGCAGGATCCTGAGGAGGAGTCGATGCTGGAGCCTGAGGTGGAGACGGTGCTGGCGGAGCATGAGGAGGAGACGGTGCAGGATCCTGAGGAGGAGATGGCGGAGCCGGAGGAGATGGTGCACGAGACGCCGCTTGTCGCCCAGGGAGGATGATGTACCGCCTGCGCCATAGAATAATGGCATGGCATGTGTCTCGTAGATGCGTCTCACCGTCTCCTCCAGGGTAATCCAGCTCGAGGTCCTTGTACGCGCCTTCGACCAACTCAACTTCGACCTTGGAGTATCCTGCTGGAATCGGCCTGCAGTGGTAAGTACCTGAAGGGTCCGTTGGGATGGCCATGCCCGACGCCACCTTCATGTTGTGAGAGATTATTTATTAGTAATCAACATATATAAGCAGCAACTAGCGGAATGGCTAAATCTTACCTTTATTGATAAGTTCTTGAAAGGAATATGCAGCTCACATGGTGTCCGCTGAGTGATGTCATCAACGGGACAGGTCGATTCGTCCTGTGTTTGCATGGCGTCCATGCTCTGTGATCCTACCTGCCCCGTTGAGGCGCAGCTGCTACGGTTTCCTGACGGGCTCACCATTGCAGGAGGAATGGTCGGCTGGGGATCATGGGACCGATGTGCGGCCATGCATTCATCAACCTTCCTTGCCACCTCCTCTTGCATGTTGAGTTCGTAGCTCGATACCCGGAACTCTAGGTCTGCAATCTTCGCCTCGGTATCTCTCTTGCTCCTCATCCGACTCCTGTACGTGTGGATGTCCTCCTTGAAACCAATCTTCCAAGGAATCACCCCTTTCCCTCGAGTTCGTCCTGGATGCTCTGGAGTCTGCAGGGCGAGTGTCAGCTCGTCCCTATCTCTGTCTGGTCGGAATGTGCCCTGAGAGGAGGCTTCCACTGCATCTGTTAGTCGTCGCGCAACCTCTTGTATCTGATAGCCGAAGACCAGTGAGCCATCAGCTGGGTTGAGCGTTCCACCGTGAGCATAGTACCAGAACTTCGATCGTTCCGGCCAATTGGCTGTTGCCGGTTCGATACCCCTCTCAATCAAGCTAGCCTCCATCTGCTCCCACTTCGGCATCGCGACGCTATAGCCTCCTGACCCCAAGTGGTGATGGTACTTCTTCTTGGCGGCATTTTCTTTGTTTCTTTCCATCATCGCCTGCCCTTGTTCACCTGTCTTATATGCAACGAACTCGTCCCAGTGATCCCTTAGCTTTGGGAATGTGTCGAAGTTCGATGTCTGCCCCTTCAGTATATACTTCTGGTACAGATCTCCCTTGAAGCTTTGAAACTGTTCTGCCATTTTCTTCAGAGTCCACCTTTTCACTTTGTCCTCTGTACCCGCAGGAAGGGTGAATGTCTCGAGCATTGTGGTCCACAGCATCTCTTTCTCCGAATCTGGGACAAAGCTCTCATGATCTCCGCGTGCCCTTGTTCTTCGCCAGTACACCGTACTGACAGGCACGTTATCCCGCACAACCCAACCGCTGTGACGTACATAGTTCTTGGCGGCTTCGGCCGGGGCACTAGGACGTCCATCTTCTTCCACTTCCGTTATGATGTGCCGACCCTCAAGCTTCTTCGCTGCACCTCGTTGCCCGCGTGCCCTCTTCTGTCTAACGGAGGGTTGACTACCACTAGCCTCCTCCTCCTGGTTCACCCTCCACATCCCTTTCCACGTGCCCCTGCTGGTTCCCCTCCGCATCCCTCTCCACGTTCCCTTCCTCGTTCAAGTACTGGTTTGGATCCTCGTTCCCCTCTTCTTCATTCCAGTACTGGCTGCTTCCCTCCGCGATTGTATCGTACAATATCTGTTCCTCATCGCGGTCAGCCATCTGTTGATACAAGAA